GATCGGGAACTGGTAACGCTACGCTCGCCGGAGCGCCTTATATACCGGCGGCCGGCCTCCCACTCACGCGAATCGGTGCGCGGTGGGGCGGCCCCACGGTGGGGCCGTGACACGGGTGTGGGAGCTTAGGGGCGCCATTGGCGCCGAGCCTCAAAATTGCGGGTGGTGGAACGGCCCGCTAGGCCGTTAGTAACGGTATCGTTACAATTGTTTAATTTAATAATTATCATATAAGAGAGGAATTGTGAAAGCAGTATTTTTTATTTTGTACATATCTGGGAATTTATTTAAATCTCTATAAAAATATATTCTTTGTCTTTTAATCCATTTCATATCTATCATTTTTTGTTTTAGGGGACCTGAAAAGGCGACACTCGTGGAGCAGCGAAATCGATTATCAACTGGCGAGAACGGAAACTGCAAACATCTCGGGAGAAGACCCCGCTTCCCCAACTTCCTCAAAAGATAACAGAATTTCCTATAAGGTATTATATTAAATTTGTTGTATAACCGCTCCTATCCTCTTCGTAATATCTCTCTTGAAACGAAATATATCTTACGAATATAAAAAAACAATTATTACACTTTCCTCTTAGAAAGGAATAAAAGATAAAGCTCAAGGATATATGATAATATAATAGAGCAAATTAGACACATTTACAATTAATCACAGAGAAATAATAGGACATTATTACTAATCTATAATTATTATATAATTATTATCTATTATATCTTCTATTGAGGATTAAGTTACAATAATGTAATTGACTGAACGCAATTTTTATGCAACAATTTTAAATTTAAATTGCTCCTTTATTAGAAATTACTTTTCACTTATACTAGCAAATCATTGCTTGCGTTGTGCTACATTGCATCCTATTTTATTATTGCCGCTAGACAAGTGTACTCTCTGACGATCATAAAAGATCTGAGAGCTATGGCCTTTTCGGCTTTTAATGTTACTGCGCTGCACGGTTGCAATTGCAAAGACTGCATATTTCGACGTACATCTGCGTATGTGTCAATGATTCCGATATTTCACAAGTAAAGTTTCACAATTTTATGAGAGATTCATGTAGAAATTTTTTAGATATTTGTATTTTTATAACTTAACAAAAAGTTAATCTTTAATTTAATATTATATTTTTTTTTAATTTTTACACGAACATACATCTTGGAACATGCACACACACACCCACAAATAAAAGTGTAAGTCCGATTGTGCAATTTTTACGTGATACACCTTAAATAACGCTGATGCCGGTGTTATGCGTTATGACAGTGTGATGAAAACTATGAGATGTATATGACATATATATTATATTTGTGAAACAGATTTTTCCCATTTTTTATAGTGTCAAAATGGAAAATATAATATCGTACTTGGCTTTTATTAACTTATTAAAATTTCTGTTTAAAAAATACAAGTTTCCAGTTAAGAAAATACTTTCAATGATTTATTAGAAAAATAACGGCCTTAATGGGTTTATAATATTCAGAATTTTTCATTTAAAAGACTATAAGTTTGGCGCATCCGAAACTATTTTTTCGATACTGTTCAGTTTTCCCAAGATATTTTACTTCACACATACACAGACACACACACACAAAATATAAACTTTTTTACATACTGACAACTTAAGAAAAGAATGGACTTTTATATTTTTAATATAAAAATCTTAATATTAATTTTTTTATTTGTTATTTTTCATATATTTAATATAAAAATCTTAATATTTATGTTTTTATTTGCATTATTAATTGCAACATTTTATAATATACATTTTTCTTTGTATATCATATATTATATATCGTGCGTGCGCGTGCATACGTGTCAATATATAATATCAATACTGATCAATACATCATGTTGAAACTTTATGCACTTACATTGAACACATTATATATTCTTATTTATCTGACAAATGATATTAACGATAGTTGATGTATTTGCTTAAAATCTCTTCTTTTATGTGTTTCTTCAGTATCTTCGTTTTCACAATTCACATTTTCATTCAAAACACACATCGAATGTAAATAATTTTCCTCCTTTTTCCCATTTTTCTTTTATTCTCTGGATTCCGCGCTCAAAAGATTTATAATTATTTTATTTTATCTTGGATCTTGGGACAAAAGTGCTGGATAAAAAAGAAAGTAGATACAGAAGAGGAAAGAGAGGAAGAGGAGGACTAAAAATCATAAGAAGAAATATTCGTGTCGTAATTTTAGATCATATAATAAGCACGTGTGGCTGTTCGTTCTCTTTTGTCTCGATGACTCGTGCATATCGTAAATGGGTATGATGTGATTATGCCTCTCTCGCGGAACAGCCATAAAAGATCCCACCAAGGACGCGAGCGGATTGATTCCGCAAACGACCCCGCAAGAACGAATCCTGCGGCTCATCACTGTCGTTCTGGTTTTACTTTTTCATGTGAGATTTCTTTCTATGAATTTTTATGACAATTTTTTTTATTTTTTAAATTTTATTTTATTAAAATATTATTTTAAAAAATTAAGAATGTATTTGAGACAGGCTATACTTGAGAAAAAATAATTTTTAATTAAATATTTATTTAGAAAAAAGTTGGGCCTAGATGATTAAAGAATCTATGAATTAAAAATTATTCCTGTAATATAAATAATTGCTTTTACAAAAATTCTTTATAGATTTAATTAAAATGCGATTAAATAAATATTTTTAATAATTTTTTATCTTTGTATATATGCTTTATACATAATAAATAATTTTAGAAGATACAATGCGCGCTTACGTTTGTCAGAATTGATAAAATTTAAATTTAAACTTGCTCCATATAAGCAATATTATATAATTATAACTGATTAACTTCTTAAGTTTAATTAAATTATATCATCTAAATCTGAAATTAAATCTTAAATCAAAATTAAATTACACATTGCATTTAATAAAATTTTCTTTCTAATAATTTTTTCACATTTTTAAATAATTTGAAAGATCTTGAAAGAAAAAAGCAAAGAAGTATAAATGTGTAAAGACACCCTGTATATGTATATATGTGTCTAATGTTGACCATATCATCTCTCATGTGCAGGTAAAGCAGGTGAAACCGAGGAGAAAAGTCTTTACCATTTTGTTACCTAAAAGTACCTTTTTGTGATTTTCGTAATAACTATTGAGAAATTAATTTTAAAACATCGACCAATTTGCGCGAATATAAACATGCGGCGAGAAAGGACGGCCCAGAGACAACCCAAAAGTATACGGTCGCTAGGCGCGCGCAACGAAGTTTTGGGAGGAGCGCTCTACAAATGACAACAGTTACGTACGAACGGTACATAACGATGGATTTTCGCGTTCTAGCAACTGCACATCAATGGGTTGTTCCTTTTTACTGCGCGTTTATACTCGTGCGAATTGGCTGATCTTTTTAATTAATTTCTCAATAATTATTACAAACATCGCAAAATGGTAAAGGACTTTTCTCCTCGGTTTCACCTGCTCTATTTGCGCACGAGAGGTGATACGGTTATTGTCGGATATCCTGTATATAGCTACAATTGGTGATGTATATTTAAAATAACGATTATAATTATATATGCAAATTTTTTATAAGCTAATATTGAATTATTATAATCGTCTATGTTAATGTTTGCAACGGATAAATAACGCAGATTGCGTAAAGAGAAAAAATGCAGGAAAGTATAAGAAGTGCAGTGAAAATCTCGCGTACTTTGAACAGAAGAGATTTTGAACAGAATGGCATCCTTTGTAATCGAGAAAAATTGAAAGAATCTCTCATAAAGAAGATAAAACTGATGAGGCATACAAATGATGGCATGACAATTAGAGAGAGCCGAGATCTTATAATAATATTTAACCACGCAATACACGCGTAAAGCGGAAGTGAAGAAAGTACGACAAGAAGATAAAGTGGAAGAAAGGTAGGTTAAGACTGCAAACTCTCGGACGTTTCGGTACGAAGAAGAGGAAGAATACGCGGAGGAAATGGCAGGCAAGGATGTGCTCGGGGTCAATAGGGTTAAATATTTCGTGGAGAGAAACTTCACCGTTTCGTGATGAAGCTCCGAGAAAACGTAGAAACGTGTAATCTTTATACGAATCTTGAATATATATATACGAGGTTGGATCAATAAGTACCCGTGTTAGGAAGGAAGACGCAAGTTTTTCACAAATTTTTTTTTTATTTTTCAATGTAATCTCCTTTTAGGACGATACACTTTTCCCAACGTCCCGGCCATTTCTTTAACCCCTCCAAAAAATACGATCTCTTCGGTAACCACGTCTGCCGGGCGGCCTGGGCGCTTCTCATCAAAAACAGATGTACGGCCATGTTTGAATTCGTTGAACCAATATCTCACGGTTGTCATAGATGGTCCCCATAGACAGCATCCAACTTCGCTTTTATTTCTTCGCATGTTTTCTATCCAAAAATAAAAAGCGAATTACGGATCGATATTGCTCTTTTTCCATTATATCGAAAAACACCAAACACGTTTAATACAAATGGCTGCCAAATCAAAACTAACCTATGAATCAGTTTGAAATTTGGTATGGCGTCGTTTGACAGATGGTAGTACACGATGGTAATGCCAACTTCCCTCAGCAAAGCCACTTGTCTTCAAACACGGGTACTTATTGATCCACCCTCGTATATAACAATTATATAATAAAGCTGTTTGTAACATTTTCTTCTTATACTTGAATTAGATAAATGAATATTGTGAATATTAAAAAAAATTATTGCGTCAGAATATTTATTCTGACTTATTTTATAGACTCACATTATTGTATTTATTGTTTAGTAGTTAGCGCATTCTGTCTTTTGATTAATCTTTTCGGTTAATTTGTGTGTGGTTTGTATCTCGTCTGTGTGTGTGTAAGAGAATTATTTACTTTCTATAAATTTTGAGATATTTTTATCTTTACGTTTAATATTGTTTTTTTTTTTTAATTGCTTCCTTGATTACTCATATTAGAAATTGATTTCTCTCTTCGCTAAGTTTTTGTTTATATGCATACATGCACACGTGTATGCGCGAACATTTGTGATGTGTGTGTTTTCCTTTTTTTATGTAGTTATTTACGATTTCTAGAAAGAGAAATGTCATTAATCTTTAATATGCATCAATGAGTTTATCAGAACTGCGAAGCGGTATCTGCTAGCTGTTAAACACAGAATAAAAAATCTCTGAAAAAAGCAAGATTTTCATCGATTGAATGATAGATGATAGATAGGGAGAACCGTTTAAGAGTACACGTATATGCAAGTATGATGCACAGTGGTCTACAACGATCTATAAATTTTACCCCGTTTATAAGACTGCGAGTTATTCCTCGCTCTTTCTCATTGTCAGATCTTATTATCTGATGCCAAAAGTCAAAATAGTCGAGTTCATTAATTGTCGCTTCATCTCATTTTCGTCTCACGCCCTTTGTCGGCGAGTTGTTAAAACACTCCATCCGTATGCCTTTATCTTATAAAATCATAATCAATTTCGAATTAAATCACCATATAATTGAAAAACACAAATTACGCGCTGTATCACGCTTCTACAAATAATATAAATATACAATCTAGCCATTTTAATTGCACTTTATATATACAGGGTGTTTGATAATAATTGCCCCACCCGTAATGTGCAGGTAGAGCGGGTTAAACTAAACAGGAAAGTCCTATATCATTTTGCGATTTTTGTAATAATTATTGAGAAATTAATTAATAAAGATCGACCAATTCGCGCGAGTATAAGCGCGCAGCGAGAAAAGACAACCCAAAAGTAGACGCGCGACAAAGTTTTGGAAGGAGCGCTCTACAAATGACAACAGTTACATACGAGCGGTACATAACAATGGATTCTCGCGTCCTAGCAACTACATATCAATGCCGCTCATATCAGGCCGTTCTTTCTCACTGCGCGATAATACTCGCGAATTGGCCGATAATTCTTTAAATTAATTTCTCATTAATTATTACGAAAATCGCAAAACAATAGAGGACTTTCCTACTCGGTTTAACCCGCTCTATCTGCACATTACTTACAAGTGGGGCGATTATTATCAGACACCCTGTATACAGGGTGTCCCAGACCACCCGTACACCCCTTTTAAAATGAAAATAAATGGCTTTTATCAAAAATCGCGAACATTTTTTAAGTAAATCGGGTTGTCTCTATCGAATGGTGATATTTTCAACTTTTGATTCCGACCGGAAATACGCCATCCGGACCGGAAGTTGAATTTTTTGATGGAAACATAGTACTTTTTATTACAGATTCGAATTGTACGTAAAAAAATAAGAAACTTTTGTATCAAACGTTTTTTCTGAAAGTGCTTCTGTCAACCTTAAAATTGACCATGAAAGTAACTGTCATTAATTACGCCACAGGAACATTTGAAGTTCATAATTTCATCACGGTTACTTTCAAGATCAATTTCAAGGTTGACAGAAGCACTTTCAGAAAAAATATTTGATACAAAAATTTCTTATTTTTTCACGTACAATTCGAATCTGTAATAAAAAGTACTATGTTCCAATCAAAAAATTCAACTTCCGGTCCGGATGGCGTATTTTCGGTCGGAATCAAAAGTTGAAAATATTACCATTCGATAGAGCATACCCGATTTATTTAAAAAATGTTCGCGATTTTTGATAAAAGCCATTTATTTTCATTTTAAAAAGGGTGTACGGGTGCTCTGGGACTCCCTATATATACAGGATGGACCATTTTAAACAGTCGAATCGAATATATCAAAAACTGAGCTCTATAGACAAAAATGTTTCAGACAAAAGTTGCATGGTTTCGAGGAGGCCATATGATTAAAATATGAACTTGACCTTAAGTGACCTTTTTAAGACCATGTCAATGTGATCGATGTTTTCTTAAGCGGAAACCCCCATTTTTTATTGCATATTCTTGTAGCTTATCTCGAGAGCTTTTCAAAACACTATAATAAAGTATTTTTTCATTAAATACTTTTTGAGTTATTTTAAATTTTAATCTGACATATTTTGATATAAAAAATAAAATATCTCATAAAATATTTAGTTTTCGATAATCTTACCGTAATACTTTTATGTACAGAATAATGAGATAAATCAATTAGTGTAAAAAAAAATAATCGTTTAAAAAAAACAAATAATTACATACTTTTTTTGAAAACAATTTTTTTTACTCTAATTGATTTGTCTCATTATTTTGTACATAAAAATATTACGCTAAGATTATCGAAAATTAAATATTTTACGAGATATTTTATTTTGTATATCAAAATATGTGTGTCAGATTAAAATATACAATAACTCAAAAAGTACTTAATAAAAAAATACTTTATTTTAATGTTTGGAAAAGCTCTCGAGATAAGCTACAAGAATATGCAATAAAAATGGAGGTTTCAATTTAAAAAATTCAATGTGACCTTGATATGACCTTAACAATGTCACCCAAGGTTTAACTAATATTCCTATCTCTTTTCCTTCTCAGAACCAAACAATTTTTGTCTAAAAAGTTTCCTTCTAAAACTAACAGGTTTTGCGATAGTTGCCTGTTAAGATTAAAAAGACTTACCCTGTATATACATATATATACAGGGTGTCCGACAAGTAAGTGACCAAACGAAAGGTGAAGATAGATTGGGTCAAACTGAAAAGAAAAGTCCTATACCATTTTGCGATTTTTGTAATAATTATTGAGAAACTAATTTTAAAAAATCGACCAATTCGCGCGAGTATAAGCGCGCAGCAAGAAGAAACAACTCAAAAGTAAGCGCGCGACAAAGTTTTGGGAGGAGCGCTTTACAAATGATAACAGTTACGTACGAGAGCAGTACATAACAATGGATTCTCGCGTCCTAGCAACCACATATCAATGCCGCCCATATCAGGCCGTTCTTTCATATCGCGCGGTAATACTCGCGCGAATTGGTCGATCTTTTTTAATTAATTTCTCAATAATTATTACGAAAATTGCAAAATGATACAGGACTTTTCTTTTGAGTTTGACCCAATCTATCTCCACCTTTCGTTTGGTCACTTACTTGTCGGACACGCTATATATATACAGGGTGTCCTGTAAAGATTGTGCCAACGCTCGTGAGCGGCTAGAGCACAGTAAACTGAACAGAAAAGATCTGTAACTTTTTTTATATAACGCTTAATAAAGGAGTTATTATTGAGTAAAATCTGGTCAATTAGCGCCGATTTTTAGCCGGACGCACGTCGGTGAGCCGTCCGCCTGATAGTATGCGGCGGCGCACACTTCACAGCGCGGGGCTCACTGACGTGCGCACGGCTAAAGGTTGGCGCCGATTGGCCAGACTTTACTCAATAATAATTCCTTTATTACGCGTTATATAAAAAAATGTTACAGGACTTTTCTGTCCAGTTTACTGTGCTGTAGTCGCTCACGAGCGTTGGCACAATCTTTACCGGACACCCTGTATACATATTTATTCTTGCGTTACCAACTTTGACTGACGGAGGACGTATTTTCTAGGAATATGGCCGTTCGTTGCAGACGGTGGACCTGGTGGCGGATTGTCCATTGCAAATTGTGACAGGTGGCTCGATATTACCGTCATCCTCGAAATCGTCTACGCTCTTGCCGTCTTCGACGTTTGCCGCGTCGACGACGAGCATGGGGCAACGACCGAGCACTCTGTTGCGCCCCAAGATCTCGCTTACCTGGGTCTTACGTGGCCAACAGCAATCTGAGCCCGATGGCGCCTATCCGATCACTAATGGCAACGGAAGTAAAATCCCTTTATTCTATTTCTTTAATCTTATTACGTTTTTTTTAATTCAAGTTATTAAAGTTTAGTTTGTCGTTGTCGAGGGAAAAGTGGAGGATGCATTTTGCAATTGCAAATTATTACATATTAAAATTGTTTTAATAATACAATATTAATAACTTTTATAAAAGAGGCTAAAATTGAATCCTTATAAAAAGATTTTTATCATACAGAAATGTGTATGTGACATCTTTTATAATATAATGTATTATCCCATTGTATATATACAGGGTGTCCTAGACCACCCGGACACCCCTTTTCTTTCAAAAACTAAGCATTTTAGAGAAAAACGTTTTGAACAAAAATTGTATGGTTTTGAGGGGAACATAATATGGTTAGCAGGGTGGCCAACAGAAAATAGAGGTGAAGGAAAACCAAGCATTCATATAATTTCAGTTGGAACCCTGCTAATTTTAACCGTCGGGTAATCTAACCGGACTTGGTAAAATTGGCCCTTAAGAAGTTATCGCTCAAAAACCTCTGAAATCGTGATTATTTTAGTGCGTGTGTGTGTGTGTTAATAATAAAATTACGTAAAATCTTGTTCGTGAAGATGCGCACAGTGATCGAGATCTCTTATCTCGCGGCGACAAAGAAAGATCCTCGGGAAGAAGCGTCAAATGCTTCAAGGAAAAGGATGTTACTGACAAGGAGAATATCGACAACAAGAAAAGCGTTGAGAAACGCGAAAAGAAAATTCTGCACAGAATTGAAAAGGTAATTGTATATATATAATCTCAATCTAGATAAATTTTCTTTTAATATATAAACAGCTTGTCCTTGCTGACAAAGGACATTCGGCAACGCGAAAATTCAAAAAAATCTGAAACTTTGCATAATTATATAGTAAGTTTTAATAACGAAACGATTTTTTGTTGATGCTAAAAAATGGTTTTAGGGATAAAAACAACCACTTAAAAAAATTGATTTTTACATTCCAAAGCGAATATCATCGAAACGAAAAGAAATATGAAAAAATTGTTTAGACAAAAGTTTTATGGTTTAAAATGTACTTTACAATGGCGTACCTGGATTTTTCAAAAATGGTAAAATTTTTTTTAACATTTTGAAAAATTTTTCAGATTGTATTAAAGCTTATGTTGCCAAATTCAACCATGTATGAAAAAGTTATGTTGCGGAAATTAATTCTTGAGAAATAAAATAAAAACACACATTACCTATACTTATACTAATCTTATTTGCTCGCTGATTTATGATGACTTATCTCTTTTTTCTTTTCTTCATAACGTATCGTAATACACGATAACGATTCTGAATTTTAGTAATAATATTTGTAGCAGACCCTGTTATATAAATCATATTTATATATCAGTGCTGGGGTTTACTTGCACATTTCGGCCCGATTCCGTGGCTCACGCCTATTGTCCCCCACTCACCGCTCGTACGAAAACTTTTTGCGATTTTCTTTCGACCGAAGGTAAATGTATTATGTTTTTTTTATTAATAAATTGTATCGTATATAATATTAGTATCATGTTATCTCATATACAGGGTGAGTCATTTTAATCAATACACGCAAATATCTCGTAAAGTAAGCAAGATGGAAAAAAATGTTTTATACAGAAGTTGTATGATTCAGAGGGAGACACATGATGAAAATATGGACTTGACCTTGAATGACCTTTTTAAGGCCAAGTCAATGTGATTGATGTTTTTTTAAATGGAACCCTTATTTTTTATTGCATATTCTTGTAGCTTATCTCGAGAAGTGTTTTTCGAAACACTAATGAATTATTTTTTCATTAAGTACTTTTTGAGTTATTTTATATTTTAATCTGACACATCCAATGAAATTTGATTTTAAACATCACGCCATAAAGTTTATCGAAATGTTATCTTTATTTTGATATAAAAGCCGTACGTTTCCGCATTTCACTCATTGTCTGACATGATTTAAACAATAATAATGATAGAGGCTCTCTGGATTAAAATCAAATATAATAGAAAAGTGCATTTAGAGCCAAGCGCGGTACGTGGTGCGCAAACTGTTTATTATTAGTGATAAATTAATACTAATATAAATTTCGAACGTTTCGACCCTTTATTTGGGTCATCTTCAGCGCAAAGTTAGACTAACAAACATAAATTTAACGTCGCATGGTTATAAAATTCGTCATACAAAGTCATACATTGAATTAAAATTAAAAACTAAAAAAAGAACCGGAGGTCTCTCACATCTTCATGAACGTTGATAATTCTTTCATGTCGTTGTGAAGGTAACTAACTTAGCGGTTGTTATGCCGAAAATCAGAGTCCGACTTACTTTAGATATGTCGATGATATTTCTCTGGCGGTTCCCGCTTCCTATCTTAACCACACGCTACATACTTTTAACTCTTTCCACCCAAGAACACAGTTCACAGTTGAGATCGGAGAGGAGAATAAATTGAATTTTTTTGACATTACTATGATCGTGAGGGAGAGCCGCTTGATTTCTGATTGGTATCGCAAACCCACGTTTTCCGGAAGATATTTACATTAATGCTCTTTTCTATTATATATGATTTAAACAATTATTGTACGATTCAAGTTAACTGAAATTTAATGCAATTATGAGTTCTAAATTAAAGTTTTATATATAAAATAAATCCAAGAGGTGATTTCTTAAATTACCTCCTTACGGAAGACGAACCTCTTGTGCTGGTGACAACACAACAATTTGTGTTAAAATGCCAAGAATAAATATAGCAAATGTTATAAATTTATTAATCACAACGTTTAACATTGCAAATTTTGCTTACCTATTAATTACCGTGAAATTGAACTTCATGATACCATTTCCGATCTAATAAAAAAATGCTGTAAATGATGATGTTGCGATTGAATTCAAATGAGATGATGATTTTGATCCGTCGGAACCGCACAATGTACAATTTGTGGACGTGTATGATATTGATGCTGAAGAAGATAATTATGAAGACGAAGTTTGTATTGTGGATAACGAAGGTGGAAATGTAAACTTAAATTACAAAAGAAAAGTAGTTGAATCTTAGAACAGTAGACAAAAAGGACATTTATCTATTATTGCTGTACAGAATCGTTTTAGAAAGGTAAAATTTAATTCAAACAAAAAAATATTATGAGCTGAACGAGTAAGTAGATGTGCGTTGTGAATAAATTAATAAACGATAACGGAAACAGAAAAATGTTTCAGACTTATGCACATTATTTACATTGCATATCTGCGATCGTTTATCTACGATTATCTGCGTTAGTTCATTAATCTATTTATTTTTTAATTAGATTTTCTAAATATCAAACTTCCTTTTTTTTGATAAAATTTATTTTGCAATTGCATAGATGGAAAGAAAATGTAATGCGCGAAAGGTCAAACAGAAACAAACTTGTATTTATTGCCGAATATATACTAACGCAATTCCAAGAAGCTATTGATAGAGGATCTATCATTCACGACATAGATTTGCGAAAATGAGTATTACAAACGAAAAAGCAAATAGACTTCCCTTTATTTAAATATGGAATTTTAAAAAAGCACATTGCATTGTATCACATAAAATAACAAGTTTCAAAACCCGATCTTCTCATTCGCAACTGATGTAACAATAAGTCAAAGTGCAGAGGAATTTGTGAGACAGGTTAAACCACATATTGATGTAATCGGTACAGGATCAATTTATAATACAGATGAAAGCGGCTTTAATTTAGAAATATATTCTGGAAGAACATTAACTAATGTGGGAGTAAAAAAAAGTCGAATCTACTATTCAATCTTTATCTTCTATGACTCATAGCTATATTATTATGCCCATTATATCTGCAGATGGACATCTTCTTTCACCTCTGTATATAGTACTAAAAGCATCTAGTGGAAAATTTGGACCACGAGTAGAAGAAACTTTGTTTAAACCTTTTAATGTTTACATTACGGGTTCAAAATCAGGAAAACTCACAAGCCAATATTTCAAAAATTGGTTTGAAGAAGTATATTTACAAAATACTGGGGAAAAAAGTTTGCTATTGCTTAATTCATGGACAAGACATTGTCCGGAACAATTAAAAGAATTTATATTAGCAGACAAACAAGTAAATATTTTAACAATGCCAAAAAAACAATTGCTTTTGTACAACTTTTAGATGTTTTCTGTTTTAGAATTTGGAAAAATTTTGTTCGATGTTTTTCTGATAATATTATTTTAAATAATTATGACATAAATTTACATTCACTAATAATATAATAAAACTACAAAGTTTAACACCATCAACTTTCTTCTCCAAGATTTCAAACTGTATTTAAATATGATTGATACAAAAGTGGATATTTATCGACGCGGCCTGAAAAGTTTGATAATCCAATAAATTTTTGTTATTTTAAAGAAAAAAAGACATACCAAGATGCAGTATTTGTGGTAAAATGGCTTTTATACGTTGTGCATGATGCAAAGAATATTTTTGTTTTGGACATTTCTTTGAACAATATCATTATTGTAACAATTACATAAAATAAATAATATTTTGATAATTAATTTAATTTAATTTTAAAATTAATTTAATTCTTGTTGATGAAAATTTTACAAAACATTTAAACATTTTTCGAATATTATTATGCTTCTATATCTTGAATTGAAATTTAATTTGCAAAATATTATTTTAAAATTATATTTATTTAAAATTATAATTTTCAATATTATTCAAATATTACAAGACTTTCATTCAGTTTTTTATATTATTATGATATAATATATATAGAATAATATGTATAGAACATAATATGTATAGAAAGATTATTTACGTAACTGGGCTACAAATATTATTACTAATATTCAGCATCATTATCGTGTATTGAGAAACCTTACGAAGAAAAGAGAAAAGAGATAAGTCGTCATAAAACAGCAAGCGCGCGCGAATAAGATTAGTATAGGTAGCGTGCGTCTATTTTATTTCTTAAGAATTAATTTCCGCAACATAACTTTATCATAAATGATTGAATTTAGCATAACATAAGCTTTAATATAAATTGACAATTTTTTCAAAATATTAAAAAAAAAATAAATGGTGGGGGTATTTTGAAAAATTTTAACGCCTATATTAATATTATTTATCCTGAAAATTATATATTAAATAAGTAATATTTGTATACATACATACATACATATATATATGTATATATACAGGGTGGGCTAAAAGTCTAGATACAGTCGAATATCTCGTAAACAATGCAATTTTGGAACGAAAGTTTTAAACAAAAGTTGCATGGTTTCGAGGGGGTCATAAGATAAAAATACTTGACTTGACTTTGAGTGACCTTTTCAAGGTGAGGTCAATGTGACTGATGTTTTCTTAAATGGAACCCCCATTTTTTATTGGATATTCTTGTAGCTTATCTCAAGAACTTTTCAAAATACTAATGAAGTATTTTTTCATTAAGTACTTTTTGAGTTATTTTATATTTTAATCTGACATATTTTGATATAAAAAATAAAATATCTCGTAAAATATTCAGTTTTCAATAATCTTACCGTAATACTTTTATGTACAGAATAATGAGACAAATCAATTAGCGTAAAAAAAAACAAATAATTGTTTTAAAAAATTTATTGTGGATAATTACATACTTTTTCTTAAAAACAATTATTTTTTTTATACCAATTGATTTGTCTCATTATTCTGTATATAAAAGTATTACGGTAAGATTATCGCAAATTAAATATATAACGAAAACTAAATATTTTACAAAATATTTCATTTTTTATATCAAATTATGTCAGATTAAGATATAAAATAACTCAAAAAGTACTTAATCAAAAAATACTTTATTACAGTGTTTCGAAAACCTCTCGAGCTAAGCTATAAGAATATGTAATGGAAAATGGGGGTTTCCACTTAAGAAATTAAAGGTGACCTTCACGTGACCTTCAAATGATTATCCAAGGTCAAACCAAGGTCACCGTTGTACGTCCCCCTCTAGACCATACAACTTTTATTTGAAAAGTTTTTTTGTATAATTGCATATTTTCGAAATATTTGCCTCTTAAGATTAAAAAGACTCACCCTGTATCAAGCGACGCGGTAACGACGTAACGACGCGACCAAGTGTATAAAAAAATTCTTTCCGTCTTGTCAACGGTTTTGCCTATGTACAGGGGCAGCGACGTTACCATCAAGCGACGCGATAGCGTCGCAACGCCAAGTATATAAAAAAATTCTTTCCGGCTTGTCAACGGTTTCTCCTATGTATAGGGGCAGCGGCGTTATCAAATAGCTTATCCGGAATTTTACGTCTAATAAACTTTCGATTAAAATACCTCAGGAACTAAAGCCGCAGTCAAAAACCTAACTACACTTTTCTTATAGAATGTGGATGCAAGCTTTTGATGGCTTTCGCAAGCGACCAGTTTGAATAAGATTGATGCAATCAATCCTGAGCTACGATAATCGTATACCAGAATGTGATATTTTTGGTCTTTCAGGTTCAGTTTCAGATCCAGTCGCTCACGTACATATGCTCGCACGCACACACGCAAAGGGATTTTGTCCCTCAAGCGGCGTTCATATCGTTCATGTACGATTATTCGCTTGAGTATGCAGAACGCTTTAAGAGACAAGATCATGTGGATGCGTGTACATACGTGTGAGATGTTTATATTTTATAAGAGTACGCGCGGAGTATAATGCGACAAAAAGAAAAGTGATAAAGTGATTAACGGTTATGAGAATATCGCGTAATAGTGCAATACAAGGAAGAAAAGTGATAAAGTGAAAAGAAATTATTAACGCGGAATAGTGCAAGAAAGAGAAGTGATTTCTTTTAATCACATTGAGCAAAGTTAGGTTATATTAGCGAAATTGAACAAATGCTTTATTACACGCAATGCTTGAATCTATGCATTATCAATTAATATATTTGTGATTTGTTGGGAAATGATTATGGAGGCATTGAAGGAATATTTGAAGATTTTGGCTGGCCATGTTTTCGATAAGCTGGTAATTATATGCGTGAACGCGCATTCATGTACACAGTGCATTCAAAAAGTTGGGGGACTGATTTTTTTCTGGACATACTGACTGCGCTATCTCTTGGCCTACACTGGGTCTAGTTACTATGATTTCTCTTGAGTTTTGCCATACTTTTTTTGCCGCCATTGAATCAATAGTTTAAAGGTTGCGTGTTTGAAATTTTTAAAATTTTTCACGTTGTCACGATTTTCAAAATAGAACCGTGATTAAGTTTTGTTTTAAATGTGGAAAAACTGCAACAGAAACATATTAAATGATGCAAGATGCATTTGGAAAAGATTGTCTAGCGCGTAGTAAAGTGTTCAGGTTGACATCAGCCCATTCAACAAAATTCTGCGCCGCCATAACGCAATGCTCTCTCTACTCCGATGTCCTTTGTGTCCTCTGAACCTCGCACACACTTTTCTTTTGCCGAGCACATCATGCACGATAGTGTGAACACTTCCCATATTAATTCCGCCCACATTCGACATTCTCGTGGAAGAGC